GCTTCTGCAAACAGTCTTGATGTGTCCAACTTTACCACATTTGTGACACTTAGCACCCTGAAAACGGCAAGTGCTTCGTAGATGTAACTTTCCACAGGAAAAACACGGTTTAATGTTTTTGATCTCTGGCTGCATTCTATTACCTGTGGACGACAGTTTGGATTGCTTTCTATGAACGCTTGTATTTTTGACTTTGGACAACATGACATCAGATACTGACGTAGTGGGAGCAGAGTATTCACTGTTGGTATCTTCATATGTAATACATAAATCTTTAGCAGTTCGAAAGGTACAAGAAGGAATCTGAATTAACTCTTTCTCTAACTTAGGAATATTGATTCCAGCAATTAGACGATCACGTAGTTGAGTATGCAGCTGATCTCTAAAGTTACACTTTGAAGTTTGTATTTGAAGTTGAAGAATGAAGTCTCTTATCTTCTGATTGGGAGCACGAACCAGTTCATGGAAATGAGCCCTCTCTCTGGTCTCAAATGTAGTTGCATGAAAGTGATGTATCAGAAGTTCACGGAACTTATAATATGGCAGAGAAATGGGTTCATCTGGAAACGACAGAGTCTTCACTAGGCTATATGCATCTAGCCCAATAGCAGTAATGAAATGTGCTGGAATTTTGTCATCCTGAACATTCTTTGAAATGCACCACGCATCGAAGCATTCCAAATAATCAGCAATCTCCCGCGGAGAACCATTAATAGGAAATTTTCCCAGGTTATTTAGTTCCATCGATACTCCAAAATGTTGTAATTATTTGTACTAGCAGTATTAGTATTTCTAGATTACCGAATTACAAGAATTCAACCAAAGCACAGAGAGGGCGGAATTCAAGAATTTGTATTTGGCGGAATTACTATTCAATTCATATGAGAAATATATTACCAATCAGCAGTTAGTATTTAAACAATACAGAGATAGAAATAGTCAATCACCACACTAATTTATCATATGATGAAAGACTAGACAGCTTAAATCTCTTCTCCTCATCATACAGTAGGCAGAGAGGGGATTTAGCTACAATCTTTAAAATTTTAAATAATGACTACGCGCTCCTTGAATAAGACGTGCTTTTCCTCTCTAATCGGAAATATCCAATTTTGTGAATTATTCGTATGGGAAACCTGATCTTCCTACCCGGTGAATTTTATTCAACCATTTCTTCCTCACTGAGCCTGTGTGTGGTACTTCCCGCTGTCTCGAACTACTGCCAAAGCTTCAGGTGCTACTTCTGTAGCAACACCCTCCTCACTCTTTCAAATATACAGGACTTGTTGGTCTGTTACGTGATTGCTGTGAAGCCGAATAACCCGAAAGTTACATGTAAAGTCAAAAGCTTTTACTTAAATACTTTATCCTTCTGTTTTGTGCTCTCTATTGTCTTTTGCTGTCAGTCTATTGGACAAAATAACAGTCTCTTATTATTTAATCACCAGTATTAATTTAGGAGTAATATGACGATAGATTCTCACCCTAAGATAAGTAATGGGACATCATACTCCGTAGTCACCAGGGCTTCAGCCAAACTAGCCAAACAGGTGAAGCTGATGGACTCTCGCATACCGGTCTTGAAGACCAGGGCAAATATTCCCTGCTCGTACAGATTGCCCATGTCGCCACAGTCCTACAGTGAAGCTGTGCAAAGTCAACCAAGTGGATGTGGCTCCATCCCTGTTAACACGACTAGGTTAACAGAGCCGAGTGGGAAAATTGCACTAAGTGAGAACTGTATAACTCCCATACCCATGGTAGGCTATGTCGCAAGACGAAAAAACGCTCCCCAAGAAGGCAGACAACTGCAAGGTCTGCGCTTCTGTTGTCGAACAAGCAGACTCTGCTTTCGAATGTAACTTTTGCAAGCGATGGGTGCATTGCAGATGCGACAATGGGGTACCAAAAGCATATTACGACTTTATGCGTAAAAACCCATGCCAATGGTTCTGCTACATATACCCGAGTTGCCATCATGATGTAGCCTCGCGTAGTCCTTTGAAAACTAAAGATGGCGCAGAAGTAGCGGGGAAAAATGTGAAATGTTCGACCCCCACCAATCCGGAAATTAGTACAAACGCGCGTAAACCGGGGATACCAAAATCCTCACCGGTTAAACTTGTAACTCTTGACATAACCGCTCCAGACACAGAGGCTGGAGAACCATGGGTTTCTGTCGTTGGAAAAAGGCCCCTATCGTCTGCCAGTAATACTGGCCATAGCACTGAGATACACAAAAATACCCAGTCGCACCAGACTAACCAAAACGGTCTTAAAGGAGATCACAAATGTGCGAGGACCGAGCCCGAAGATGAAGTGTACCTTGAACTCAGGAATCGATGTAACATACGAGTCCGGAGCGATAGAAGGACATTTCAGGGAAACCTCGCCAATAAGCTTCTCGTGAACCCCAAAAGCCTATACAGGTTTATGTCCGAAAGAAAACCGACCAACCAGGGAGCATGCAATCTAGTGGGTTCTGATGGGAAATCTCTTACTAGTCTTGAAATGGCAGAGACATTCAGCCTAGCCTTTCACAGGCAACTAAACAGTAACGAGGATATTACCCCCACAGAACATCCAGATTACATCGCAAAACCAACGCGCGAAAACCTGCTGGGTACATTTCAAATTACCCCGGCTATGGTACTTGCCAAATTGGGAAGGTTGGCTTCGGGAAAGTCTTCAGGTTGTGATGACATCAGACCATCTGTCCTGAAGCAGTGTTCAGAAAGTCTCTGCCAACCCCTAAGTGATCTGTTCCAACACTCCCTTGATGTAGGGAAACTTCCATGTGAATGGAAACGAGCAATCCTATCCCCTATCTTCAAGGGTGGTGACCGGCAGAATGCGACCAGTTACAGACCAGTTGCTCTACTTCCAGTGGTATCGAAGATATTGGAAAGTCTCATTGACGACCACATGAGAAAATACTTCGATGGAACTAACCTTCTTCACGAAGCACAGCACGGTTTCAGGAGGGGAAGATCCTGCGTGACGAATCTTCTACTAGCTTGGAACGATTGGACACTATCCTGGGACGAAAAGGTACCAGCCCACGTGATCTTTCTCGACTTTGCGAAAGCATTCGACACAGTTCACCATGGTCTGCTCCTTCACAAAATAAGCAAGGCGGGTGTTTCTGGAGCACTTCTCGCATGGCTGAAAGATTACTTAGGCGAGAGAGAATTCTGCACCAAAGTCAACCGCATCCGATCATCCTGGCACACCTCGGCATCAGGCGTTCCTCAGGGTTCTATCCTAGGGCCGTTGATGTTTTTGATTTTTATCAACGACCTGCTCTCCCAACTAAACTGCTCTGCGCTTCTTTACGCTGACGACGTAAAGATTTGGAGAGCAATAAACTCATCGGAAGACTCAGATAGATTGCAGGCTGACCTGCAAACTCTGGGAAACTGGGCTCCGGCTAACGGAATGCCTTTCAAGCTAAAGAAGTGCAAAGTAGTGCAACTTCATTCCGGCAGGTCACAGAGTGTAAATTACACCCTTGGTGGCCAGAACTTGAGTTGTGTTCCATCAGAGCGAGATCTAGGTCTTATTCTAACAGAAAAGCTAGACACCAGTGGAAATTACGCGAGGGACGTCGCCAAAGCCTACGCAACTTTACACTTTATGCATAGGCAGCTGGGAGCTCTCACTCCCGAACTGTTCTTAAGGTTATATAAGGCATATGTGAGGCCACACCTTGAGGTGCATAATATCATTGCACCCCCGCTACTCAAAAGGGATGCTAACATTCTAGAAAGTGTCCAGAGACGAGCGACAAAATGGGTGATCGGCCTCCGCAACAAATCATACGAGGAACGACTAAAGAAATTAGGTCTTTTCACACTTAGTTACCGAAGGCACAGGGGAGACCTCATCACCGTCTACCAGATCCTAAATGACCAGGCCCACCCAAATAAAAGCATCCTGCCATTAAGTGATTATAGGCTTCCACGAGGTAACCCGCTAAGGATAGCACACCAGAGACCAAAGACTCGAGTACGATCACATTTCTTTTCGCTTCGTGTTTGCCGTCTCTGGAACTCTTTACTGGCGGCCGTGACTACAGCGCCATCTCTGGAGATTTTTAGGCGGAAGCTAGACAATAATAATAATATATATATATACCACATAAATTAAGCATTTACATGATTCACATACCGTTTGTACAGGCATGATCATATTAGACAAGTGCAGTCATGCAGAAATGCAAGGTTTGTGTCTCAATGGCTTATCCTCATAAAACTTGAAAGCACACTGTCAATGGATAAGCATACAAACTAAATCCCCACGACCTATTCTGCCTTCTCTCACTCTATCTTTTCCTTAGGTCACCTTTATTATTCCACTTATCTCAACCTATATTATCTACACTACAACCCATTATTATTATTACCATTCAGCTTTTATGACTACACCGAATGACCGACGGGAGTTAGGTCAAACTCCATTCACGGCAGCAATACGACCCTAACATACTGCATACTACAAACCACATCTAGACCAATCCCCGCACCACTCCTCTTGGAGTCTACCAGAGCTAAAGCAGTCGAGTGGCGGGACTTACTACGCAGGAGCTCACCGAAGATCTGGAACCTCTACCTCACAATGAAGAAGCGAGCTCAAAGAAATCACTGGTTTATACTAGCTCGTAATCAGGATATTGGATATTGGATACGCACTTCATCTGTTATTCTTCCCACAAGGACAGAACGCCTTAGAGGACATAGCAAGAGGGTTTAAAAGCCAAGGAGAAACCGTAGTGCTGTGGAATATTGTTCTCACACCGAGTTTTAAACTTCTGAAACCGACTCCCAGGAGATATAGTGTGAGCGACCTCAGTTGACTCATTCAAGAAGGGTTTGGTCAAGTACAGAAATTTACTAGCAAAGGATCAACATAGGCTTCAAGCCTTCTATTGGATTGGATACCCTCAATCAGCAAATCTGATATATGAATCTGAAACATTGAAAATAAGTCGGCACTTTTTCATCCGTGTCGTTACATTTGTCAGATGGACAACGGTGGCGTTGCACTTGAGGAAGGTGAACTTGATGAGGATTTGAGTGATGAAGAGGCTTCTAAACTAAAGCGTGAAAAGTAAATTTGGTTCTTTTACTTAATTTTACATTATTCAGTGAAGTAAAGAAAGAAGACATCCCAGGTGACAATGAAGTGAAGAAACATAAAAGTAAGAAAGAGAAGAAGGCGAAGAAGGAAAAGAAACACAAAAAGAAGCATAAAAAACATAAGCACAAGGATGAAGAGGAAAGGTTGGATTCCTTTTTCACGTTCCACTCGCACTGTAGTTCTGTCAAAAACAAATCGGTTTCTGAATCTCCAGCTAAAGAAGTTAAACCTGAAGTTACTAACAACTCTAAGAATGAAACGGAAAATAATGCTCCACGACCTCAGAAAAGAGTCCCAATTTCCTTAGAGGAACTTATCTCAAGGAAAAAGGCGGAGGAGGCTGAACAGATCAAGCCTAAATTTATTTCTAAGGAGGAACGCATTCAGGAAGCTCTTCGAAGGAGACAGGCAGAAGTTCAAGCCCAGCGTGAAAAACAAATGCAGGAATTCAAAAAGCAAACAGAATATCTTGAAAGCGCGAAAGGTTAGTTCATGTTTTGGTATTTATATATCATAGATCTGGAAAGAAGGAAACGTGCCGAAGAGTTTGAAGAGCGCATGAGACAGTATAGAAACTCAAGGAACTCTGGGAAGCGAGCCGCAGAAGAGAGAGCTTCCGGAGAAAAGAAAAGCCCTAACACTCAGGAGGAACAAGCTATAAAGGAGCGCTATTTAGGCCAGAAGCGATTGACTAAGCGTCGTCCTAGGCGTCTAAATGAAAGGAAATTCGTATTTGATTGGGATGCAGCGGATGATACTAGTCAAGATTACAACCCATTGTACAAAGAAAAGCACCAAATTCAATTTTTTGGTCGTGGTCATATTGGTGGTATTGATATCAAGGTAATAAGGTACATGTAATCTTTACAAATTTCAGCAACAAAAAAAAGAAATCGGACGTTTTTATTCAAAGCTACTGGAAGATCGTCGTTCTGATACTCAAAGAGTTCAAGAAGAGTGAGTTCTAATGTTATTTATTGACTTTGTAGGAAACGACTGACTGGTGTTGCAAAACGTGAAGCTAAACAAAAGTGGGATGACAGACACTGGACTGAAAAGGCTGTAGATCAAATGACAGAGCGTGATTGGAGAATTTTCCGAGAAGACTTCAGCATATCTACAAAGGGTGGTAACATTCCTAATCCTCTTAGATCATGGGCGGAGATGAATGTAGCTGACGAACTCAAGGAAGTTATCAAAAAGGTTTGCGAATAATGTAATTTTATAAGCTTTATTAGGTCGGTTATCCTGAGCCAACACCAATCCAACGTCAAGCAATACCTATTGGTTTACAAAACCGAGATATTATTGGTGTTGCAGAAACTGGTTCGGGTAAAACAGCAGCATTTCTTATACCTTTACTCAATTGGATTCAGCGACTTCCAAAATTAGAAAGACTTGAGGTAGCAACAATTTTTTTTACTTTATTACCTTCTTAAAAGGATACAGAACAAGGGCCATATGCTATTATCATGGCTCCTACAAGAGAACTTGCTCAGCAAATTGAAGAAGAAACAGTCAAGTTTGGTCGTCCTTTAGGAATCAAAACTGTTTCTCTAATCGGTGGTCTTTCACGTGAAGATCAAGCTTTAAAGCTTCGAATGGGGGCTGAAATAGTTATTGGTACACCTGGTCGTTTAAATGATGTTCTGGAAAATCGGTACATGGTACTAAATCAGTGTACATACATTGTGTTGGATGAAGTAAGTTCAATTACTATAAATCAGGGGTTTTTTGTTTACTGTCCTTACTATTTTGAAAATACTTTTGTCTAGATAGGTAACAATTTAGGTTCGCTATTCAGACATTATGGAAACCCAATTTGAACTTTTTTATTAACGGTATTCTCCAGGCACAACAAAAAATTAGCTCAAACAAGAAATCAATCCATGAAGTTCATATAATGACTTTATTCTTATTATTTGGTCCATTCACAGAAAGCTTTTATTCACTCGTGCTTGTTATCAGTGGAATGACATTACAGAACGATGACCCGTAACACTATTGCACTGCTAGTCCTCGTCTACTGTTTTTTGTTATTTTGTTCAGTCTGTTTCACATACTTATATTTGATTTTGATTGTTTTATCCTCTTACACTGGTTGATTCAGAGCGTTGTTAGCAGATGTATTGTTAAGGTGTGAAATATTAGACCCCATGGAATGAATCAGGTCTGTAGGATTTTCCCCCTAAAATACTTGCGAGAAGCCTGAATGCAATGGATACTCCTAATTACCTTAGGGTATAGCCATTGTGTTCAACAGACAATTGTCTAATATCAATAACATACATTTTCGGAAGTATCTAGTTCACATATTTTTTAGAGTCATGTTATAAAAACTCACTGGAAGTAAAATTTCGTGGGTCAAGAAGATCGGTGTGATATTTTCGTTTAAGACATTTGTGTAGCGTCTCCTAATAAGTGATACAAAAGCTAGCACAAGATGTTGCTTACCTTCAAGTAACACATTGAATAGCAGAATATCTACACCCCTAGAACTCATTGCTCTAGGTCAGTCTACCGGACTAAAGATTTTATATCCGAGAATTTCGTTTCCATGTTATACAGTTAAATATTTGTATTAGTTATTTGTTAAATGAGTTCAAGTCAAAAGAGAGCTCGTAATGAGTCACTAAACTAAATAAAAAAACAATTATCTAAGAGAACACTTATGTTGAAATACGAGTGATTTTGGAGCAAATGCCTATATGTTTTTGGTGTAACACGAATACAGGGCAACCGGCCTTGATAACTCGGACATGTGTTACGAGTGCTGTCATAGCTCATAGTTCTTTGGAACATGAATTCAATATACCAGACCATAGGCTACGCTTGATATGTGAGGGCTGATGGTACTACCCGGTTGTTTTGGATAGAGTAGGCAAAGTGGGATTCGAGATGGGGATCCACTAGCCGAAAGTTGAAGGCTTGACTGACCGTCTAAGTTTCAACACGGAACTTTGCACAGAAGTACAGTAGTTTGAGCTTTCGCACTCCATGTAACATACAACATAGACAGGAAAAAAAAGATTAAAAGCAACTATAATAACCAATGAGAAAGATTGGCAACACGAGAGAAACATGATGGTTTAGTGGATGTGAGAGATCATAGGAAGTGGATTCATTTGCGCCATTTAGAACGATTTTGAGTCATATCACCAACAGTTTCAAGCCATTGGTTCTTGGAATCCTGACAACCCCAACTAGCCAAGCAGTGTAAACGTTCCTACGTGGCTGGCTTAAACCAAGTATCAAAGACTCGATGGATTAATCCCAGGTTTTGATTGGGCCACGTCTAACTCTTTTCCAACCTATTCCTATGTTACCTAACATTGTCTATCAAGAAAGGAGATAGTTGAGTATGCTCAACACGTGTCGTAGCTATCTGAATTGATGTGGCTTAACAGCCTCATCAATAGGTTTAAGTCACTGATACTACGAATGACATGTCAGTAACTTCCATACTGTTAACTGTTTGGATGAAGTAGTGATTGTGTTGAGTTGGCATATGTGTGTAATGGCTCCCTGAGTAGCTGGAGACATCATCAAATAAGTTTCGAAATTGAAATTATTGGCAAAAATATTGACATTTCCTTCTGAAAGCAGTACGAGGTGGCCAGCACTATTTGGAATATTCCTAATGATATTTAATATTTGTTCTCTTTTCTCGCCAACTACGCAGGTGGTTCGGGGTTCGATCCCCGGTCGACACACTCCTCTACCTCGCTAAGCCAGTCTGTCTGTTTTCGACATAGAACTTTGCACAAATGTGCGGAAGTTCAAGTCGCTACACTCCATGTAGCACACAGAGCAAGAGAAGAAAGTAGAAGAAAAGCATAATAGAGACAGTAAGCAGGGTGTGAGATAAAGGAAGAGTAATAACGAAGAGCAAAACAGTTTCAATGGAAATCATAAGTCACAAGGAGTGGATGCATCTGCACCATCCATTGAGAACGATTTTGAGCCATGTTACCAATTGTTTCCAACCATTTGTTTTTACCATCCTGAGGACCCCAACCAGGAAGTCTACATCTTCCTACGTGGCTTAGACTAACTGTTGTAGATTTCATTGACTGGTGCCAAGTTTTTGTTTGACCTCCGCTAGCTTTTTTCCAGCCTGACCCTATATCCGCTAACATTGCTCGTCGAGGAAGGCGATGACTAGGCATACGTAACACATGTCCTAACCATCTCAGTCTTTGTAACTTCACAACTTCGTCGATTGATTTCCCCTGTTAACCTAGAACTCAACGCCTAACCTCAATATTGTTCACCTTATTATGCCACTTTACACGGGAGATAGAACGCAGGCACCTGTGATCAAAGACAGCTAATCTTTTCATGTCTTTCACTCTCAGTGGTCAGGTCTCACAGCCATAAAGGAGGACGGAGTGGACTGATGAGCAGTACACCCGCCCTTTGGTCGATAGTCGGATATCTCGTCTACGCCAGAGACGGCGTAAACTGGCAAATGCGAAACGGGCCCCCTGTATCCGTGCTGAGATTTCGTCAGAGATCAACCCGTTGGCACTGGCTAATGGTACTTCCCAAATAAGAGAAGCGGTCAACATGCTCTACAACTTCACTTCCTATTTTTAAACTAGGAGTCGCTGTAGTCCAGTCCTGTAACATGATCTTGCATTTGGCGGGAGCGAATCTCATGCCAAACATTCGTAGGTTGCGGCTCAAGGCGTTTAGAAGACTCTGCTAAGTCAGTAATAAGACTGGTGAAGAGGGGAGGTTGGTCATGAGGCTGGGAACCCCATCCCAATAAAAATAGTTAGCACTGCTACCAAAAATTCAAAATTCTACCTTGAGGTCCTGTGTTCCACTAGGAACGTAAAAGAGTAAAAAAAATATTGTGCTAAGTTCGTATAATGTAAACCTTTCAAAATTAAATGTTTCATATAGCTTCTATGCAAATTAAATGACTGTAAATGATGAATAAACTGTAACCGACAGTTAAAAATTAATTGTATTCAGCTTAATAACTGTGTATAAATAAGTGTAGATACAAGTTAAGGTTAGATAACACACTACCCAATGCAAATTGAGGGCAGTTTTTCTATGCAGGCGTTTGTGTATGAGTACTATATATATATATATATATATATGTATATACGGCTTTTAAGAAATTGTATCCGGTGAGGGAACATAGGGCTTCAAGCTAGAGACTTGAAGTTTCTGTAGCAGTGTTTGTTTTACAGGATGGGGTTGCTAGCCCCATGCCCAACCTTTCCTCTTTACCAGCATTATTTCTGGCTTAGCGAGGTAAAGGAGTGCGTCGGTCGGGGATCGAACCCCAGACCATGGTCGGCGAGCGTCCTAACCACTATGCCGCCGACGCGAATCATAGGTGCAAATATTTAAAATAATAATAGTAGTATGAATTGCAATTAAAATGTTTGTGATCATAATCAAAGTCAAATATCAAGTGGCAAAATAAATAATATCGTATATAGAATAGTTCATAAGATGTATAGATGTTGGAAAAGGGTGTACAAATGCAAGCTTAGTAGGCTAATATATAAAACGTCACATAACTAGGTGTGAAGTTTGATAAGGTAGAATTCAACATTGAAGAAAAAGTTTTGCTTTTGAATGACAGGTGGAACAAGTGAAACAATACAGGAAACAGTTCAAAGTGAGAACAGTAATAATTGTAGTAACAATGATAATAATAATCGTAGTAATGAGGCAAGGGTACGTAGAATAACTAAATAAACAAAATGAAAGGATAAATAAATAAACGTTTATCTCATTACAGCCTAGATAAAAATAGGAGCTGTACATACTTCTTATTGTTTTTACACAAACGTGTGGCCTGGATTCACATGAATGATCAAGACCTCCACAGTCTTCAGAATTTTGGAACGAAAAAACCCGATGGGTGATCGTAAAATCATGGTCAGGTTTGGTAGATTGATAGGAGAGGTTTCGTGTGCATGTCCGATTGTGAGGGCGATTGTTGCTTTCCGGCTGCCCATTTCTGCATTTTTTGTGCATTTCTTGTACTTTCTTCTCTTGCTTTGTGTGCTACATGGAGTGTGGCGACTTGAACTGCTGCACATATGTGCAAAGTTCTATGTCGAAAACAGACTGACAGGAGTCGATCGAGTGTTCTAAAATAGGGCTTCGCACACCTTTCCTTTCTCCCTTAAATCATGCTGGAGTATGTTCTCGTATCCGTGTGCAAAGCACTCAGTGTACCTTGCTTCACAAGAGCAGGTGAACTGATAGATGCACATGGTAGATACTATATATATATATATATATATATATATATATATAGTGTATAAGTGGAGAGCTAGATAATTTCCTAATCAGACTAATATACTCTGTTTTTAAAAATTCTTTTGCGTTGCCCGATGAAACTAGGATTTTCTACATTTTTCGATAAATATTTTATAGTTTCTTTGATGAACATAGGTGGGAATAGGATGAGCGTGGAAAGTGAGTGAAAAAGCAAAACACGAAAACTAAGGCGTCAAACCAAACTAGATCCATAGTAAATGTATAGGTTGGGCTAGTTTCTTTTTAACACATACCTCCAGCTTTTCGATGCATATAGCGACGGCTCCTGCACAGTACAAAGAATTCGAAAACACACACTGTTTTTGGTAGATTTTTGTCTACTTTGGAAATGATTCTGAATGATGAGACAGTTGAGATGCTATGACAAATGTTGATGAGGTTGAAAAGAAGACTATTTTACATGTTACGCAGCTATTTTATAATTCTGTGTAATTTTGTTTTTAAGCTCCTTTGACATCGACATTCACACCTTCAAACTTTCCTATCAAGTTGAAAATATTTTATACTTTGAAGTCGACACTAGATAATTTCTTGCCTTCCTACTACTGTGAGCATTATATTTCCTACTGATTTACCTATTTGATGAACACTTTCCTCTTTTTGATGTGATAGGCCGATAAAATGATTGATATGGGTTTTGAACCTGAAGTCAACAATATTCTCACTTATTTACCAGTTACAAATGAAAAGCCAGACAATGAAGATGCTGAGGATGATTCAAAGTTGCTAAGCAATTTTGCAACAAAACACAAATATCGTCAAACTGTTATGTTCACTGCTACTATGCCGCCTGCAGTTGAACGCCTTGCTCGCACGTATTTACGCCGACCTGCTATGGTATACATTGGAAGTGCTGGTAAACCAACAGAACGAGTAGAACAAATTGTTTACATGGTTTCTGAACAAGAAAAGAGGTAAGGCAAAAAAGAAGATTTATGCATTAATACTTTTCGAATGTATTTAAAATTGTAATGCTTTTTGGCCACTAATTACTCACCAAAACTCCTTAATAGTGTTTACTTATTGAATGTGTGTGTGTGAAATAGTATTATTTCACTGGATGACGTTTCGAACACAATTTGTTGTTTATTATCGTATTGGTTGTAACTGCACAACCTCGAAATTTAGTTTTATAGTTGTCATCATCCAGATTATCATCCGGCTATCGATCAAAGGATGTGTGTATGCACTGCTAATCAGTGCACACCGTCCCTCTTTATGGCTGGAGGATATGGCCATTGAAGGTAGCTGTCTTTGATTATAGGTGCCTGCATTCTACCTCCCATGTTAGGTGGCATAATAGGGCGATTAATATTGAGGTTAGGCATAGAATGTCGGGAAAGGAGGGGAAGTCAATCTGTTAAGATGCTTACGAAGTGATTTACATGTGCCTAGTCATCGCCTTCCTCGACGGTCAATGTTACCTGACTTAGGATGGATCACGTTGGAAAAGCTAGCATGTGGTGGTCAAACCAAAACATGGAATCAGTACATGAAGTCTTTGACAGTTAGTTTGAGCCAGTCACGTGTAGAGGAGTAGACCACCACCTGGTTGGGGTCGTTGGGATTCTAAGATCCAATGACTGGAGACGGTCGGTGACATGGCTCAAAGTCGTTCTCAATGGCTGGAGCAGATGCATTCAGTCTTTGTGATTTAACATATCCAATAAAATTCTATTGTTCTTCCATAATATTATTCTTTCTCCATCACACTTATTATCTCTTTTTTGAACCTCTCTTTACTCTAATCTCTTGGTTTGTATGCTACAGGGAGTGTGAAAACTCGAATTGTTGTACTTCTGTGCCAAGTTCTATGTTGAAACCAGTTAGTCAGAATATACCTGTTTACGTCTTGTACTGTAATTAAAGCTTAGTATCCTGCCTAGATGGTAATTTCCGGCACTGTAAACTTTTACATATGCAGTATTTTGATCTTAAAGTATTCCCACCTGGTCATCCATGTCATCTCAACCGTGACTGGAACTGAAATAACTGCTTTTGCCTTCTAATGCGGCATCTATGCTCTCTATAAAGATCGTACGTGCTGCACGGCGGTAGACAGTACACTATGTTAGTTGGTAACTGTAATTCTGATGCAATTCAGTGCAAGGAGGCACTTCAAGACCTCACGTGACCGCGTAGAGGCTTTCGGAGTTGTGAAGTAAAACGATGACTAATAGTGGTATCCATTGGGGATAGTTGTTGTCTCCACTTTTGTCTGAATTCATCATAGGCTCACTAATGGATATGACTCAAGTATTGGAAAGTAAAACCAGGGGATTCTCGTCGACATATAGTATGCATATTTCGTCCTAGATGACGATTCCATAGGCAGTCTTCAGAATGATTGGAGCAGGAGTTTGTATTTGGCATTTCCTCTTTTTCATATGGAAGGTGATGTTTCAGAGCTGGTTTGTACCGACTCTTACTTGTAGGCAGTTATATGGCTGGATGTGGTTACCTCATCCATAGGAAAAGTTCTTCCCCCACCTACTGGTCTTAAAGGTAACATTAGCAAGCACACAAAGCTTGTTTGGTATTTGTCGACATGATATCCGAATATTGATCGAAAGGCATTTATATTACAAAGTAGTTCTCTGTGATACGTGGACAACGAGAATGGATGTGAAAAAGCTAGTTGCTTTCACTACAGGTGTTTGCGTTGAATCTCCCGTGTTAAGTAGTGTTATGTGGTGGCGCAACGGTAGAGTGCTTGCCGGCCATGCAGGTGGTCCAGCGTTCGATCCACGGCCGACACTCCTTTGTGCGTCGGTGGCACAATGGTTAGGACTCTCGACGACCATGCACATGGTCCGGGGTTCGAGCTCACACCGGCGCACACCAGATATCTGTAGTCGGCCTGCGAAATTTGGGCTACCGATATCCACGCTGAAAATTCCATACTTGTACCAAAAATACAGTGTGGAATCAAGCTGTTACCAAAAACAAAAAAAACAAAAACAAAAAACAAAACAAAAACCCTAAGGTAAATTGGTTCTCACCGGTAGAAACTAGTATCCACTTGGTGGAGTAGTTAATTTCTGTTGGCACGAGCGAATTCCTTTTGTCTTTGTATTCTTTCTAACCAAAATAAGTCGGTGGCACAGCGGTAGAGCGCTCGCCAACCAGTCATGTAATCCAAAGTTCGATCCCCGGCCGACGCACTCCTAAACCTTGCTAAGACGGTAGTAAGACCGGTAAGGAGGGAAGGTTGAGCATGAGGCTAGTAACCCTACCTCGTAAAAACGAAAACACTACTACCGAAACTTCGAAACCCTAGCTTAAAGCCCTATATTCCAATCGGAATGTAAAGGAATTAAATAAATAAATAAATAAAATTCTAACCAAGACTTATAAGCGGACAATATTGTTTTCAGTTACACTTTCTCCAAGCTTTACTCCAATGTACATTAGATTTATAAATAAAAAAAATAAAAAATAGTAAGTTTTAAATGTTTTGAGCCTCAGTAATAATAATGATGATTGTAATGATAGCAAAAAATAATGACATCAAGATCAATGCTAACAAAAATACAGGAAGTTTATGTAGATAGTAGTAGTAGTATGTTTATGTAAGGAGAAAAGAGACGATGAGCTCAACTTACAAAGCACTGGACAAAGAAGTGAAGAAGAGTGCTAGGAAGGACAAAAGACGATTCTACGACAACCTGGCCACTGAAGCTGAGAAGGCAGCAGGCAAAAGGGACCTGAGGACACTATATCATATAACCAAATCTCTATCCGGGAAGAGACCAACACAAGCGAAACCTATAAAAGACAGCCAAGGGAACCCAATTACCAAGGAAGAAAAACAGATTAAACAATGGGCGGATCACTTCAAAGGACTCTTGAACCGACCATCACCTGCAACCCGTCCAGAAATACCAACAACAGCGCGCACACAACTGCAAGTTGACACCAATCCTCCAACGAGAGCTGAAGTCTTTAACGCAATCAAGCTTCTGAAAGCTGGAAAAGCAGCCGGACCAGATGGAATACCCCCTGAAGCACTGAAAGCAGACCCAGAGACTACAGCAGACATGCTGACTCCATTATTGCAAAAGGTCTGGAAGGAGGGAAAGGTGTCTACTGACTGGACGAAAGGTTACCTCGTGAAACTACCAAAGAAGGGCGACTTAGAATTCTGCAAGAACTGGCGAGGAATCATGCTCCTATCGACGCCAAGTAAAATCCTGATTCGCATCATCCTGGAGAGATTAAAGGACGCACTGGAGACAGAACTCCGACCAGAACAAGCTCGATTCAGGAAAGTCAGGCAAATCATGTACTGACCAAATTGCAACTCTACGCATCATCATCTCAGAACAAAGTATGGAATGGCAATCAGACCTCTACCTCAACTTTACAGACTTTGAGAAGGCCTTCGACAGCGTTGACGGCGAAGTAATTTGGAAATTACTCGAGTACTATGGCGTACCCCAAATATTCATCAACCTTATTCAACAGCTGTACGACAACGTCACGTGTCAAGTGATCCACAACGGAAAACTCAGCAAGGCGTTTGGAGTAAACACAGGAGTCAGACAAGGGTGCTTACTATCACCAATGATATTCCTAATTGTGGTGGACTGACTGGATTATGCGTCAGACAGTGGGAAACGAGAAGACAGGAATACCCTGGACCGACGTGAAGAACCTAAAAGACCTGGATCTCGCTCGTGGATGATTTATGTTTGATGTCACACACAATCGAAGACTTACAAGCGAAAACCGACAAACTGGTCGAAGAAGCAGCTGGCGAAGACAGGACTCCAGGTGAACATAGACAAGACGGAGGTTATGAAAATAACCAACCAACAACAGCAACAACATCCAACGGGAGGGATTTGAAAGAGGTTACTTCATTCACTTATCTAGGGAGCATTGTCTCAACTACAGGAGGAGCGGACGAGGATGTCAAATCGAGAATCGGGAAGGCGAGAAACACATTCATCAGCCTGAAATCAGTCTGGAAATCTTCGTCACTCAGCGTCACCAACAAAATTCGGATTTTCAATACAAACGTAAAGTCAGTTCTTCTATACGGATCAGAAACTTGGAGGGTCACAAAGAATATTTCCAACAGCCTGTTGCAGACCTTTATTAACAACTGTCTTCGCTCAATACTGAAGATCAGATGGCCGGAAAGAATCACCAACAAGGAATTATGGGAACAAACAAAGCAAGAACCAATCGCCCAACAAATATGCAGGAGAAAGTGGAGATGGATGGGATACTCGCTGAGGAGACCGGCCGCTGGGTGACATCGCGCGTCAAGCCCTCGAGTGGAACCCGGAAGGGAAGCGGCATGTGGGACGTCCAAGGGTGACATGGAGGAGATCGTGTGAATAGGAGTTGAAAGAATATGGACTAACATGGATGCAGGCGAAAAGTACAGCAGAAGACAGAAGAAAAGGGAGACGTGCAGTTGAAGCCCTATGTTCCACTAGGAACCCAAGGGAGCAATAATAATAAATAATGTTTATGTAAATAGTTCAATAAATTACTGATTGACTAACTGATTCCAGCAGGGAAATTCGCATAGAAGTGCAACAATTCGATTTGCCACAACATCCAGCAAACAAAGGAAGACCAAAAGAGAGGAAAAGATTCCAGAAATGTATACGAGAAAGAGTAGTAACATGTAAAAACATGACGGTTTAGTAGACATATAACATCTTAGAAAGTGAGTGCATCTGCACCATTGACAATGTTTTGAGCGATATGACCAATAGTCTCCAGCCATAGGTTCTCAGAATCCCGACGACCCCAACTAGGCAGTGGTCTACACTTTCCTATATGGCTCACACTAACTGTCAAAGACTTGATGAAGTGATTCTATGTTTTGATTTGACCACCACTAGTTCTTTCCCAACCTGATCCTATGTCGAATCCGATAAATCCAAAAAGTCACGCAACACTAAATTTGAAGTAGGTAGATATTTAGAGTTTAACTAAATATCATGAAAGTACGAAGTATATGGGGAATAAAAAGGAGTAAGATGTTATCTAGGCCAAAGGATAGGCAAAGGTAGAACAAACTTCTTTTGTACACAAAGACTAAAATTTTTCTCTCGAAATCCCATAGGTTCAGCTATGTGTAAAAGAGTAGGGGGGTTCGAATTCCCTTTGGAAAGGTTCGACGGAATGCTGTTGGTAACCTTGTAGGCACTACTTCTGTCCACTTGATGACCACTATCAATCAAATTAAACAAAATAGGATTTCTTGTCGATTTTATTGGGCCTTTTCCGAACCATGATGAAGATTGTCATTAGTGCATTTTTACTCAACTGTCTAGTTCTTCGGCCTATATAGGTTTCTCAACAAAGTAGACAAACGTAGAAGTGCACATAAAAGTAGCGCAGCTAGACAGGTAGCTTATCTCTCGCTTGAACAATCGTAATTGCTCTTCTGGAAAATAACAAACGAAGGGTATAAAAGAGAATTACAGACTAAGTAAGATAGAAAGTAGTATTTTCCGGCTTTAAATTAGCCAAATGATTAGCCTAGTCATCGCCTTCCTCGACCGATGGGCAATGTTAGCTGACATAGGGTCAGGGTGGAAAAGAGCTAGCGGCGGTCAAACCAGAACATGACACCAGTCAATAAAATACACAACAGTTAGTTTAAGCTAGTCACGTAGGGAGGTGTACACTGACCTCCTGGTTGGGGTCCTCAGGATGGTAAAAACAAATGGTTGGAAACAATTGGTGGCTCAAAATCGTTCTCAATGGATGGTGCAGATGCATCCACTCTTTGTGACTTATGATTTCCAATGAAACTATATTGTTCTTCGTTACTACTATTGTGTCACACCTCTGTTTACTGCCTCTGATATGCATTTCTTCCACTTTCTTCTCTTGCTCTGTGTGCTACATGGAGGTAGAGTGGGAACTTGAACTGCTACACATCGGTGCAAAGTTCTATGTCGAAAACAGACAGACAGCTAAATGATGATATATCAGCAAACTCTAAAGATACAAATTCGTGTTTTAAGGAAAGTTCAGTAAGGAACGTCTAAGATAAGTCACCATTTTCGGACAAAGGTAACAAATTTTTTTCTAATGAATAACAGAAACTTTTGTGACTAATTGATGACTTATAGATTTATACTGAAGTCGGAGCATATAAGTGTAGGATTTAGTGTAGTCCTTAATGAAGTTGTTCGTTTGTGAGTATTGGAAATTTTCGTGGTTAAATTGTCATTTTGCTGTTAGCAGAGTTTTTTTCTTTTTTTGACTTTTTAAAATTTATATTCACTTAAGTTGTTTGTTTGCTTTCTTTTGTGTAGGAGAAAACTTTTAGAAATACTTTCTTCGGGTCTTGATCCACCTGTGATTATTTTCGTCAATCAGAAGAAAGGTGCTGATGTACTCGCTAAAGGATTGGAAAAGCTTGGTTACAGTGCTGTTGTATTACACGGTGGTAAAGGACAAGAACAACGAGAATATGCTTTAGCAAGTTTAAAATCTGGTCAGAAAGAAATCTTGGTAGCTACTGATGTCGCAGGTCGTGGTATAGACATTAAAGATGTCTCCATGGTTATTAATTATGATATGTCAAAAACTATTGATGGTATGTCTGCTGATTTGTTTATTGTATTAACCTTACTATTATTATTATTGATGTTCTGTTGGGTTCCGAATGGAACATAGGGCTTCAACAGCACGTCTCGACTTTGTTCTATTTTCTGCTGTCCTTATTAGCTGGGCCCACACTTACCGGTAGTGTCTCATCTCACCACACGACTCCTCCCCATGTCACCGTTTGGATACACGGCCAACCCGTTGTTCCCATTCGGGTTCCACTCGAGCGATGTCATTCAACGGGGTCATCAGTTTGTGCCCAATCCACCTGCATTTTCGTCGGAATATCTGTTGAGCAATGGCTTCTTGGTTTCATCGTTCCCATAGTTTCTTGTTGTTAATTATTTCTGGCCAGCCATTTGATCTTTAGCATGCAATGAAGTTGGCAGCTGTTCATAAAAGTCTTCATTAGTGGCCTGTGAAAATGCATCTGGTGACGCTCAGGCCAAGTTCCTGATCCATGTAGAAGAATCGACCGATTTAACATTTGTGCTGGAAATCTGAATCTTGTTCTTTGTGTTGGCTGAGTAAGTGTAGAAGATTCCCAAACTGATTTCAGGGTGGTGAATGTCTGTCTTGCTTTTCCAATTCTGGCTTTGACATCTTCATTTGTGCTGTTGCCTGTGCTTGGAACGATGCTTCCGTAGAGAAGTGAAGGAAGTGACCTCCTTCAAATTTCTCCCTTTCGATGGTGATTGGTGCTGGTTGTTGTTGTCAGTTAGTTAGTTAGTTATCTTCATCCCTTCTATGTTCACCTGGATAATCCTGTCTTCTCTGTTTCTTCAGCCAGATTGTTGGTTTTCGGCTTCAAGTCTTCGAATTTGTGTGGCACTAAACATAAATCATCGACGCACAAAATCCAGATCTTCTAGAGTCTTCTCATCAGTGGTCCAGTGTATTCCTGTCTTCTGTCTTACCAGTGTTTACATATATATATATATATATATATATTCTTGTTCTCAGTTATTTGCGAAGTTATTTCACAGACTGACACTCTGGTTTGTGTTCATAAAAGAGTCTAAAAGTTTTACACCTCCCCTTCTTAAATATCTTTACGAAACACATTTCTCCTAGCGGTTTTTTGTCTATCATTGTCATTACAGTAAATTCCTTTTCAGTCAGTTGTATGACTTCTAATCACAACAGCAATACTAATACCCTTTATTCTGGACAGTGTTTATGTATTGTGCAAAATTTTCAACGAAGTTTATTGAATATGTGTAAAATTTGGACACTGTGGTAGTATGTATTCCAATATTCATTTGTTTATTAGGTTAATCACTCAGTGAAACAGTATTATTTACTCGATGACGTTTCGAACACAATTTATCGTGGTTCATAATCATATCAATTATAATCACACGACTTCGAAACTTCAGTTTTATAGTTTTCTTTGTTCTCTCCTATTTTTCGTTGTAGGGGTAGTAGAATTCTCCAGATGCCCGGCTGGATAGGTGTTGATTCATATTCCTATTACACGTGTTTGCAGTTTATTCGATAAATAAGGCCTCAGTCAGTCATCAATCTCTCCCTCCACCCTATGACATTAGACTTTAAAACTGTCGTCTTATCCCGTCCATACTATTGTATGGTTGTGTGTAATTGCATGTAGTGAGTGCTATAACTGAACTGTCTAGATTTCTTATCTTATTCAGGTCAACTAATGTAGATTTTGCTAGGCTTTTATGCTCGGTTAGTCTGACTGCACCTGTTCTACTAGTTTGACCTATGTATCTGACCTGACAATCATTGCATGGTAGGGTATTAGATAAACTAAATTCTTTTGTTTAATTGGCTCCACAGGATTGATCTTTAAACCGACAAAGCTTGTTTCTAATTGAATTTGTGGGTGGTTTGAATGTCACTTTTATTCCTGCCAGCATTGTTAAGAATTCTGCTTAAGGTTCCCGAGGTTCCTTCTTTGTATAGAATTACTACTGATGATTTAGATTCCTTATTGTTGGTGTTGTCATTATCCTGCGCATGTTTTACATGCATGTAGGAAAATGTAAAAATAAAATAAAAAATAATAGTGGTGATAGTGGTAATAATAATATTAATGACGATATGCATGTCAAACATGCGCAGGATATGATGACAACACCAACAATAGGGAATTTAAATCATCATTAGTAATTCCATACAAAGAAGGAGGAACCTCAGAAACCTTACGCAGAATTCTTAACAAAGAGTTTATTGCATAATATTTTCTCTTCGTCCACGATCTTCAGATAAAATATTAATTGTGACAGTCTATCCTGTGGCACAATGCTGTCTAACCTGAAGCGCGAACCAATCCACCGTGATACCTCTCCTTTTTCTCCTTGTAGAAATGTACGGTATTTAGTTGAAAAAAAAACAATTGTAAGAATTTTAGGAATACATTTTGAGACCCGATGACATAACTCAGGAACATAAGGATAGCAGTTTGTGGCACTGTGGTAGGGTATAATTCCATTATGGATAAAATTTTATTTTGATAAAGTCACACAGTGTTGTTATACGGTAATATTTACTGATGACCACGTTTCGAGCACAATTTATTGCTAGTCATAATCATATTAAGGCACCACTCACACAACGTTTTTGCTTCATTTATATGCATGAGTAAAATAATAAGATCAATATAAGACTTGCTTGAAACAGAAAGGAAGATAAAATTACACCTGGAGATGATATTAACTCAGGAACAATTAACTCATTGTGTATTAGGATCACGATCATACGTTTTCTCAAGTTTCTAGTAAAAACTGATAAATTAGAAGGTTGTAAAGACTTTAAATACTCTCAAGAGTAAATAATGCCATTAGGAGTCATATTTTAATAGATTAAAAAAAAGTGAAAAGTAGGAATTGTAGGCAATATAATTAATGATGGAGGTTTCTGGTAGCCCGAAAGATTTAAGCGGGTCGGGTAAACAGACTAGTGTAGGTAGGCTGGGTGGGTGTGTTTCAATACTAAATTTTATTAAGCAGTGGTTTTAAAACGATTCCCGAGACTTTACACCTTAGAGCCCCTGTGTTCCACATGTAGAGCTGTAGCTCACTGGTCTAAGCTATGCCTTCGACGTCCAACCGATGGGTCTGGGTTTGTACCCGGCTTCACTCGTCAAGGTTTGGGTAGCCCTGGATAGCAGTGGTAGTAGTAGTAGTAGTAGTATCAATAGCCCTCATACAGTCGGTGTGTGGCTCATTGCCGTCAGCTGTATGAAATCTCAAGGGATTGTTGAGTACGTTCCACATGATGGAATGCAAAGGAATCAGAAAAATATGTAATCATATTTCTTCTCATGAATTAGTTTGTAGGGATCTGATTTTTTTCGAGTCTTGGCTCCTAAACTTTCTTGTGGATGCGCACTTCGGATGAGTTCCGAAGTGGGACGAAATAGCCGACCAGTAGTGCTCTCTATTGGTTTTCAATAGCTTTTTTTAACTGGTATCAATCCATGTTAGTCAAACTTCAAACAAATCAAATCCCTACAAATTAACTCATGAAAATTAATCTGATACTCACTAGTGACTGGTTTCAGGACGAAGTTGACCGGAGTTCTATTGAGATTTGGTGACCACTGAGATCCATCCGGTCGGGTGTAAGGACAAATACTCGCCGCTGACAGCGCTGGTTGTGGTGATCGCGCTAAAATCACAAATTGTCAGGAGTTGACATTCATAAGGCATTGTGAGTCTACGCTCTCTTGACTTGTAACCGTAAAGTCCTGAGTTCGAACCCCTGGTGAGTTTGCATACTTCCAATGAGTCCCGAAGTATAACGAAACAGCTTTCCAGTTTTATGACATTATTTTTGTGATGAAGCCATGAAACATATTTCTCGTGAACGAATAGAATGAAGTCTCCAGAAAAAAAGGTATTACTGCTGAACTTTCTTATCTCTATCAATAAAGGATGTGAGAAAGGTTTAATGTTTAATCGAAACTGAATACTGTTATAAATACCGCTTTCAAATATATTTTTCCTTCACGTTCCCAGTGGAACATAGGGCCTCAAGCTAGTGGCTTGAAGTTTCTGTAGCAGTGTTTTTAAAAAAAATTTTACAGGGTGGGTTTGCTAGTCTCATGTCCAACCTTTCCTCTTTACCAGCATTATTTCTGGCTTAGTGAGGTGAAGGAGTGCGTCAGTGGCCGGGTATCGAACCCCGCACCATGTGCATGGTTGGTGAGCGTCCTAACCCCTGGGTCATCGACGCACTCTTTTAAATATGCTGCTTCTAAGATCAACATTTCAATGTAATGTCAACATGTGTTTAATTATTCTCTTATTATTTATTTTAATAATAGAATATGTGCATCGTATTGGACGTACTGGAAGAGCTGGTAAATCTGGTGTGGCTATCACTCTATTAACAAAAGAAGATGCTCCAGTATTTTATGACTTGAAACAGCTGTTAGTCCAGTCCCCTGTGTCCACTTGTCCGCATGATCTTGCCAATCATCCAGATGCTCAAACGAAACCTGGCATATTAGCTGCTAAGAAACGACGTGCTGAAGAGACAGTTTATATTACATAAAAAGAAGTGTGTGTTTGTGTGTGTGTGTGTAATTATAAATTGTATCAATAAATATTTGCAGTTCTGTTTGTAAATATACTATGAAAAAAATAATAATCTAACTACTAACTAATTCATAATATTTGTACATAAAATAACTTGTTAATAAAACACTGGATTTTTGTTGTTAGCTGGTTGGCGATTGGTGGGTGAGTGGGGTGGGTTGGTGTTGTCGTCTTATATGTTCATTTGACTTTGTTTCCAGATATTTTGGTAACTTCTAAGCACTCCAGTCATTCGCGTTTTGTTGAAATATACGCATAAGACTTGATTTGTCTCTTAGAAGTAGAAGACATAAGAGGACTACAGATTTTCGACCAGAGACACCTTCGTTTAATTACTTACAGTAGACGAAGTTATATGGTAGAAAAATGTAAAAAGAGATTAGACGTAAGGTGTTAGATAAGGAAGGTAAATCAATTCACGATGCCGATCTTAATCAATTGAGATGGTTGGGACACGTGTTACTTATATTGTGCCACTACCTCTTTGATGAGGATAGTCGTTGAATTAGCATATGGTTTAGAAGAGTTCTGTTCATTTTTAGATTTATTATTATGTATTATTATTTTCTTTAGTTCCCAGAGGAACAGAGGGCTTCAGTCAAACGTCTCCATTGCGTTCGGTTCTCTGCCAACATTTTTACCTAGCTTCACGCCTGCCTACATGCTCTCATCTCCTCTTCGCATGACCTTCTCCATGTCACCCTCGCACTGACGACCAACTTGCCACTTCTCATTCGAGTTCCACTCGAGTGATGGTCTGGCGTGTGATGTCGCTTGATGGTTTGTCTTCTCAGAGTATGGCCAATCCACCTAACTCCATTTCTTCCTGCATATTTATTGCACATGGGTTCCCGCTGGGTTGGTTCGCTCATTGCTAGAGATCCCTCCCTACCGATCTTTTCTGGCCATCTGATCTTGAGTACTGGGCGAAGGCAGCTGTTGATGAAGGTCTGTAGTTTGTTCGAAGTGCATTTCATGAGGCGAAACGGCGCCAAGTCTCTGATCCGTGTAGCAGCACTGACTTCACATTGAAGTTGGAAATTCGAATCTTGTTTTTCATGCTGAGTGCTGTTGACCTCCACACAGACTAGCTTTGATGATATCTTCGTGAGTTCCGCCCGCCCGTAATTGAAACGAGGCTTCTCAGGTGGGTAGGTAGAGGAGGTTGCTTTTTTCAGATTCCTTCCACTTATGCTGATTGTTGTTGCTGTTGGCCAGGAATCTTCCCCTCTGTTTTCTCCAGGTTCACCTGAAGGAAGGTCTACCTTCTCCGGATGCTTCTTCTGCCAACTTGTTCCTTTTCACTTTCATATTTTCCAGATTGTGGAAAATCAGATATATATCATCGGTGAAGTCCAGATCCTCCAATTTTTTTGTGGGTCTATTTTATGCCTGTCCCCTTGTTGCCCGCTCTCTGACGCATTATCCAGTCTACCGAAATCAGGAAAATCATTGGAGATAGTAGTCAGCCAGCTTGTCTTACTCCCGTCTTCACTTCTTCGAAGGACTCCGTGAGTTTTACCGTTGTGCATTACCTGGCATGCAGCATTGTCGTACAACTGTTTAGATGTATGCCAAATATAACTAATGCATTTCTCCATCAGGAAACCGTGAAACTTTCTTTACCCAATCAGTTTAGTTCAATGTTTTGCCCATTACATCCACTTGATGATAGTAGTAAAGAAGACTCGACATATTTTTCCTGTTTGTGTTAACGGCTACGTAGAATAAAAAGAGCATTTCTGAATTTTCAATGTTTCACCAACTCGATGCTCATCCTTCACTGGTTTTCAAATTCAATTATTATTGTTGGTATTCTTATGGCAATATCTCTTGAACTTCCCCTTAAAACTATAGAACAGACTAATTGTTTTAGCGTATTAAGAATAATATTGTCGAGTTCTTATTTCAATGTCATTATTTTGTTTTCAAATTTCTCATGGACATACCACTACAGTCTACTTTGTGCGCGTCGGGAATATTAATTCCATATGATAGCGAAAATATTCATTCAGACATCGATAAAAAAACACAAAATAATTGAGCGAAGAGTATCCTTATCGATAAATTCCTCTTCTAGCTCTACAATTATACATGTTTATGTACATAGAATATTCTAGATTAGTAGTCAATAACCATCTTAGTGTTTTTAAATAGTATCGATTTGTAAAGTAAGATCAATGGAATTACCACAGTTCATTAGAGATGCTTAAATAATAATAATAATTAAGATATAGTAGCGAATAGAATATCAACTAAAATTAGGAAAATTCCACAAAAATTCAGGATCATTCAAAGCTAGATGACCAAGGTAAGGATAATGTCCGAACTGACTTCTTTTGGATGCACAAATTGGGCTTGTTAATATAGAACCCAACAGCCTCAGCAATACTTAGTAGTCAAACTCTTAAGGCGAAATGGAGATTCATAGTTATGCGGTAAATAACCCTGAAAGCCTGGTTAACATCAATCATGTGTTCTGTATCCACGAGATGAGATAGAACAGCGCTACGAATAGATTTTGTTTGTCCTTTGCTTAACCACGCAGAGTGATGTTCGGAAATCCTACGAGAAAGATGCCTGATTGTACGGCCTAAGTAACTGACTCCACAGTAGCAGCTAAATTCGTAGATATACATGGAAGAGGCGAAATTCCATATTAGATGAATTTATCACCATAAGAAGTTTTGTGTTTCTTAATGAATGAAAAACAAATCGATATTTTTGTTTTTACTGGCGTTTCTGTATTTAGTGCTGCTAATTGATTTATCAAAGTAGCTAGATTAAACCATAATTTACAAAATCTCAGCTTCTGTGGAGTAACTTAATCATCGTTCTTCAACATGAGGTAGTTTTTACATTGTCAAGTGGGTTAATCAGTAAAGATTGTTAGATTTGATAAGCGTATGAAATCATAAAAGCAAAGTGTGTTTACATAATGAAATTCCTTTTTACATTTGTGTTGATTTTGTCACTTCACATGGAGGGCGGGGTGTTGCAACCAGGTTAAATTCTGTTTTAGTCCATCATTTCTATTCAGACACTTTGGATATGAGGTGCTTTCGATGATACTAGGCGTTGTTTGAGACCTCTGGAATTTTTCTAGAAGACTTCAATATTGTCAAAGTGAATTTTGTTGCCTCATTCTACAGCATGTAGACTTATGGCTGATGGTTTTTCAAGCTTTTCTAGTTCAACTGGATTTCTCGGTGGTCGAATAGAATATCTGTAGTGTTCACTGCTTCTGATCTTGGTTTCTCGCGGTGTTTGTCCGATGTATATCGCATCATATTCCAAGCATTTTATTTTGTGGACACATTTGGATTGAGAATCCTTAGGGATTTGGCCTTTCACATGGACAAAATTGCTTTTTAGTTTGTCTGATTTTTTAAAGAAAACTCTGATATTCTGTTTATCGATTGACCTTCTTACATCGTTTAACGTCTCCGCTCTACATGTCAGTGTTGATTTTGTTAATGAAGTTCTTGGGGTAGTTATTTTTCTTGTGAATCTCAGTAATGTTTGATATTTCTTCTTCTTTTTCTTTCTCATCCATTAACATTAAAGAGTGTGCTCGTCTAAGAAGACTTGAAACAACTGATAACTTTGCGCTGATGGAGTGTGATGATCCTAAGTCTCAATATTTGCTGAAGTGCGTTTTCTTCCTGAATATAGGTGTAATTGAATATCCATTTTCTTTCCTGTTAACTAGGCAGTCTAGAAAAGGTAACTGACCGAATTCTGTTTCCGAAGTAAACTGAATGCTACGAGGTCGATTGTTCAGTTTCCCCAAGAATCAACTGTGTACATCTTGTTTTAGCACAACGAAAGTATCATCAACTTAGCCGTATTTTATAGTGATGAATATCATATTACCTAATGCCCAAATTTTTTCAAACAGTTAAATGTGAACTCGGTTTGGACATATATAATATATCAGGGTATTCTTTACCTTTGTAACGCGTAAGAAAATTCTCTTCTTATTCGGATCGATTTCTACCTCTGTGTATGTGCAACACTTAACCCTGTTGTATGTTTCATAGTTTCTCTATTCACCATCCCCTCACTCATTACCGTAGTATAATATGTCGTAAATACAGGAATTTCTATTGATGAAGGTAAATTCCTTTTGCAAGTTCAAACATGTTTAGATATGATTACAAGTTATTGATAATTCATATGTAGAGGTTAATTACACAGATTACGTTTGTTGGTTAACCTATCAAATATAATCTGAAGTATACATAGCAATTAATCAATCATATTATTAAGATATTATCTTCTGCGACTTTATAAACATTCTAATCTACAAGAAAGTAAGATTTCGATATTACTACATTCACCTAGAATTTAAAATAAGTCAATCGATAATTTCAGATGTATTTTCCAACTACTACTGGTTTCAAATCTTTAAATATTCCTGTTATTAATATTAGATAAAGATATATCAGCAAATATTATTGTTGTTTTCAATTAGATCTTCTTCAGGCTTTACTCTAGATCTCCGGGAGCGAACCAACCAGGAGCCGATTGTGAAACAAATAGGCGGGAAGAAATGGAGATGGATTGGCCATACGCTGAGGAAACCATCAAGTGACATCACTAGACGAGCCCTCGAGTGGAACCCGAAAGAGAATCGGCGAGTTGGCCGTCCAAGGGTGAGTTGGAGGAGGTCATGTGAAGAGGAGATGAAAGCATGTGGGCAGACTTGGAGCGGAGTGAAAAAGTTGGCAGAAAACCGGAGGCGATGGAAACGCGTGGCTGAAGCCCTATGTTCCTCTAGCAATTAAAGGATATAATAATAATATGCGTAGCAATTTTAACCGATGACGGTGACTTTGTGGATCAAATAATAATAATAATAATTTACTTGACTCCAAAAACAGTACTTGTGATACAGAATGGAATTTTGAGTACTAATCACAATATTGTATCTAATCTCCTCAAATTATAAATAAAATTAATCACACAGAAAATTGTCCACATTTACAATAGAGGTAGTGTCAAAAGCATGCGGCATATAAAACGGAAATAGCAATATTAATGATAACAGCTAGGGCAATAATAATAAGAATACAAGTGAAAATTGCCGTTGGCTTGTGT